ATAACTATTTTCCCCGTGTTGCACCCCGAGGCTAGTTTTTACCTAACAGCTTTTGCTGGTAGGTTTCTAGTGGGGTCAAAAGAGAGCAGCAGATGACTCCACAGGGGGGTCGAGGCAGCATCCGGGGAGCTGTGTCCGAACTCGTGTCCGAATGCGCTTTTCGCAAACAGTCATACACTTCGTGCTCTTCGACCTCCCAGAACTCCATTCCCGGGCCACATTCTGAATGCCCGGAACCAACTGTAGGCCACTTCGTGCTCTTCGACTTCCCAGAACTCCATTCCCGGGCCACATTTTGAATGCCCGGAGCCAACTGTAGGCCACTTCGTGCTCTTCGATTCCCAGAACTCCATTCCCGGGCCACATTTTGAATGCCCGGAGCCAACTGTAGGCCACTTCGTGCTCTTCGACTTCCCAGAACTCCATTCCCGGGCCACATTTTGAATGCCCGGAGCCAACTGTAGGCCACTTCGTGCTCTTCGACTTCCCAGAACACCATTCCCGGGCCACATTTTGAATGCCCGGAGCCAACTGTAGGCCACTTCGTGCTCTTCGAGTTCCCAGAACTCCATTCCCGGGCCACATTTTGAATGCCCGAGCCAACTCTAGGCCACTTCGTGCTATTCGAGCTCCCAGAACTTCATTTCCAGGCCACAGTTTGAATGCCCAGAGCCAACTGTAGGCCACTTCGTGCTCTTCAAGTTCCCAGAACTCCATTCCCGGGCCACATTTTGAATGCCCGGAGCCAACTGAGGCTGAGGCAGGCTGCTGCTGAGGCAGGCTGAGGCTGAGGCTGAGGCAGGCTGAGGCTGAGGCAGGCTGAGGCTGAGGCTGAGGTTGAGGCTGAGGCTGAGGCAGGCTGAGGCTGAGGCTGAGGCAGAGGCTGATGCAGGCTGAGGCTGAGGCAGGCTGAGGCTGAGGCCGAGGCTGAGGCTGAGGCAGGCTGACTGAGGCTGAGGCTGAAGCAGGCTGAGGCTGAGGCTGAGGCAGGCTGAGAGGCTGAGGCAGGCTGAGGCTGAGGCTGAGGCTGAGGCTGAGGCAGGCTGAGGCTGAGGCTGAGGCTGAGGCTGAGGCTGAGGCTGAGGCTGAGGCTGAGGCAGGCTGAGGCTGAGGCTGAGGCTGAGGCTGAAGGCAGACTGAGGCTCAGGCTGAAGCAGGCTGAGGCTGAGGCTGAGGCAGGCGGCTGAGGCTGAGGCTGAGGCAGGCTGAGGCTGAGGCTGAGGCTGAGGCTGAGGCTGAGGCTGAGGCAGGCTCTGAGGCTGAGGCAGGCTGAGGCTGAGGCCGAGGCTGAAGGCAGACTGCTGAGGCTGAGGCTGAAGCAGGCTGAGGCTGAGGCTGAGGCAGGCTGAGGCTGAGGAGGCTGAGGCTGAGGCTGATGCTGGCTGAGGCTGGGCCGAGGCTGAAGGCAGACTGAGGCTGAGGTTGAAGCAGGCTGAGGCTGAGCCGAGGCAGGCTAATGCTGAGGCTGAGGCAGGCTGATGCTGAGGCAGTCTGAGGCTGAGGCTGAGGCAGGCTGAGGCTGAGGCTGAAGCAGGCTGAGGCTGAGGCAGGCTGATGGGAGGCAGGCTGAGGCTGAGGCTGAGGCTGAGGCTGAGGCTGATGCAGGCTGAGGCTGAGGCAGCTGAGGCTGAGGCCGAGGCTGAAGGCAGGCTGAGGCTGAGGCTGAAGCAGGCTGAGGCTGAGGCTGAGGCAGGCTGAGGCTGAGGCTGAGGCAGGCTGATACTGTGGCAGGCTGAGGCTGAGGCTGTGACTGTGACTGCCGTTGCCACTGCGACTGTCATCGCGAATGCGACTGCGACTGCGAGAACAGGAGAATTCTACAACTGGATTCTCATCTGGATCTTAAGGGGAATGTTTCCATATATGCTTCTACACATCGCTGTTAGGTTGCTTTGCCGGGATAATTTTGTGCGGGCTGGGCGTTTCGCGTGAGAGTTCCCCACCTTTTTTTTACCCTGAAGCTTACAACACGACAGTAGGTTCACATATGGAGGGGTGGTGGTTTTCAAAGTGTGGCTCTCGCCTCAGCGCCGCGCACATACGTGTTAAACCTGTGCCAGAGTTTCACGGAATGAGGGCGACTTGTTACCTAACAGCGAAGACTGATAGGTTTCTAGTGGTGTCAAAAGAGAGCATCTGATGACTCAGAAGGGAGGTCTGGGCGGCATCCGGACAGCGAGGGCCGGGCTCAGGGCCGGGCATTTTAAGCAAAAAAGTCACACACTTCGTGCTCTTCGACCTCCCAGAACTCCATTCCCGGGCCACATTTTGAATGCCCGAAGCCAACTGTAGGCCACTTCGTGCTCTACGACTTCCCAGAACTCCATTCCCGGGCCACATTTTGGATGCTCGGAGCCAACTGTAGGCCACTTCGTGCTCTTCGACTTCCCAGAATTCCATTCCCGGGCCACATTTTGGATGCTCGGAGCCAACTGTAGGCCACTTCGTGCTCTTCGACTTCCCAGATCTCCATTCCCGGGCGACATTTTGGATGCCCGGAGCCAACTGTAGGCCACTTCGTGCTCTTCGACTTCCCAGAACTCCATTCCCGGGCACATTTTTGATGCTCGGAGCCAACTGTAGGCCACTTCGTGCTCTTCGAATTCCAGAACTTTATTCACGGGCTACATTTTGAATGCCCGGAGCCAACTGTAGGCCACTTCGTGTTCTTCGGGCCACATTTTGCTTATTGGATGTCCCCGTCATATCTCTCGCCACCCGATTGCTCGGTTTGTTTTGTTCGTCATCGTGCAGGGCAAGACGGCGGACCCAGGCGTCATCGTGCACTGGACGTTTCCGCCAGAATCTAATACTTGTAGTAGCAGTAGTAGGAGGAGCAGGAGGAGCAGGAGGAGCAGGAGGAGCAGGACGAGGGAGACTCCTTACTCTTTCCTCCCTCCCCTTTCTCCCTTCATTTCTGTACTGGGTACCCGACCCTTTATGACGTCCTCCGCAGGCCTGGGTGGTCCACTCAGGCCGCGGGGGAGGATAGGGGGAGGTGGGGTCTTCTTCTTTCCCTAAACAGCTTGATCCTCGTCGCCAGTACTGAGGAGGGGGGGGTGCACCGTTCCCTCGGATGGGCGCGCCCCCCTCCGGGAGCTCTCGATCCCATCTCTCTCTCTCTCTCTCTCTTTTTCTTTCCCTCCTCGAAGCAGCACTTTCAATATCGTCATCATCAAGCGTCTGTGGTCTCACAGCGTCGCAGACTCATCATCATCATCAGCCTCGCTTTCGAAGATTCCCTTTCAAAGGAGCTGCGCAGCGCCTATGGCATGCTGGTAGTTCTCGGTCTGGCGGCGGTGCTCCTGAGCCTGCTGCGTTGAACAGCGGTGCTCCTCAGACTCCGGCAATGAACAGCGCTGCTCCTCAGCGTGCTGCATTGAGCGGTCCTCTGCAATCATAACATCATCATCATCAATGGCTTCGCCGAGCACCCCGCTGGAGACTCAGTTCTTACGGGTCCGTGCCCATACTACTACTACTACTACTACTACTACTACTACTACTACTACTACTACTACTACTACTACTACTACTACTACTACTACTACTACTACTACTACTACTACTACTACTACTACTACTACTACTACTACTACTACTACTACTACTACTACTACTTACTACTATACTACTACTACTACTACTACTACTACTACTACTACTACTACTACTACTACTACTACTACTACTACTACTACTACTACTACTACTACTACTACTACTACTACTACTACTACTACTACTACTACTACTACTACTACTACTACTACTACTACTACTACTACTACTACTACTACTACTACTACTACTACTACTACTACTACTACTACTACTACTACTACTACTACTACTACTACTACTACTACTACTACTACTACTACTACTACTACTACTACGACATCGCACTACATCCATGCATGGGAGTGCCTGTTTTGGAGCTACATTCATTGATGCAAGTGTCTCGTGTGAGGCTCAACCCGTTGATAGCAGTGTCTCGTTTGGACCTACATCCGTTGATAGCAGTGTCTTGTTTAGACCTCAGTGCATTTATACGAAGATTTCCTTTGGAGATGCCGTTGTCGAAAGCCGTGTTTCTACTGCTACTGCCACTGCTCCCATCACTCCTACACGTTCACTCCGCACACTACAACTACTACTTCACTGTCACCATGAATACCATCACTACTACTTCTACTGCTACTACGAGTGTTTCTATTACTGCTGCTGCTGCTGCTGCTAGTGTAGCTATTGCTACTGCAACTACTGGCAGTGCCATTGCGACTGTCGCTGATGTTGCCACTGCGACTGTCACTGCGAATCCGAATGCGGCTGCGAGAACACCAGATTTCTACAACAACACTCTTAAATTAATACCACAGGCAATGTTTCCAGAGATGCTCCTACACATCGCTGTTAGGTTGCTTTGCCGGGATAGGTTTCAACATGGGGCTCTTGCTTGTGCGTGGCGTACAGTCTTTAAATTCGCAAGAGCTTCATGCATTGAGGGCGGTTCATTTTCAATATGGTGCTCTCGCCTTAACGCCGCGCACATAGGTTATTCAAGTTGCAAAGTTTTTTTCGGAATCCCATGATCAGCGTACCAGACTTGGAAGTATTCGGGATTATCAGGGTGCAACAGTTACATTGATTCGCGGTGTTGCGATCCCAGGAGTGGCGTTCAGGCAGGATTCAGGATCGTCAAGAAGCAACAATCTCCGTGGCGCTGGAATCCCGACAACAATGTTTTGGCATGCTTCAGGGTCTTCAAACAGTTGCTTTCCAACGAGGCAGTTCCCTCACTGCAAATGACCCACTGTAGAGCCTATGAATAGGGTGCTTGGAGGGAGGGTTTCTTCTAACATCGTTGATGAATCTTGGGTTTGCACTGGTCCTCCTCTTCTTCCCCCTCATCGCCCTTCTTTTCCTCCCTCTCTCCTCCATCGAGTGCCGTCACCCGGCCGCTGGGCCACGCTGCCGCCTTCCCGCCCCCCGCCGAGGTCCGGCACGAGGCGCTGCCGCAGTGGTGGTGCCCCGCGACGGCCCCTGTGGCCCGGGCCCGCCGGGCCCGGGCCCGCCGGGCGGGCCGCGGGGTTGGGATGTGCGGGAGGTCCAGGCGGCGGGTCTTGGGCCGTTTTCGGTCTCCGCGGGCCTTCGCCAGTCCTCGGGAGCGTGAACAAAACAGCTCAGGACGAAAAGCAGGCCCTCGGGAAGTGGTCGGGACCTGGGGCCCACGCAGCCGGATGTTTGTGTACGAACAACTTTTCGCTGGAGTGACCTTTGATGCGGGCCCAATGTCGGGCGACGAAATCTGCACATATCCACTGCCCCCTGTCTGGGCCCTTCCTGGGCGCAGGAGCTGTGCAAGCGCCTCCCTTGTCAAGCCAGGGGGTCGTGGCGTGTGCACCGCTGCTGGGTTCATCATCGGCCTGGCCAATGAGCGATGGATCTGCGAAGATTTCGTTGCCCTGCAATGGGGCCCCCAGGTCGTTGTACGCGATGCGATGGCAGCGGCATGCGCCCCTGGTGGTGTCCCCGACAGACCCGCCCTTTTGGCCTCGCACCATTGGGCACTCTTGGCTACGGGCACTCGTGCGTGTAGTGGAGAGGCCAGGGGCAGGGATTTGCTCGCTTCTCCACCCACCTCGTCTCCTCTTCCCCTGCTGAGGACATCAACTTCAGGGACTCCGCGCGGATTTCTTGGATCGGACTCCCCGTGGCGGCGTCTCCGGCGCGGCGCCTGGCGCGCTCGGCGCGCCAGGGAGGGGGGTCCTGCGGAGATCCAAGATATCCGCGCGGACCTCCAACAATTGATGTCTATGCAGGTTTTTACCTAACAGCGAAGACTGATAGGTTTCTAGTAGGGTCAAAAGAGAGCATCATGACTCCCCAGGGGGGTCTGGGCGGGATCCGGACGGGTGCCGGGGAAAACAGGGGACTCCTTTTTCAGCCAACAGTAACGCACTTCGTGGTCTTCGAGTTCCCAGAACTCCATTCCTGGGCATGATTTTGAATGCCCGGAGCCAACTGTAGGCCACTTCGTGGTCTTCGAGTTCCCAGAACTCCATTCCTGGGCATGATTTTGAATGCCCGGAGCCAACTGTAGGCCACTTCGTGGTCTTCGAGTTCCCAGAACTCCATTCCTGGGCATGATTTTGAATGCCCGGAGCCAACTGTAGGCCACTTCGTGGTCTTCGAGTTCCCAGAACTCCATTCCTGGGCATGATTTTGAATGCCCGGAGCCAACTGTAGGCCACTTCGTGTTCTTCGAGTTCCCAGAACTCCATTCCCGGGCCACATTTTGAATGCTGAGGCAGGCAGGCTGGCTGAGGCTGAGGCAGGCTGAGGCTGAGGCCGAGGCTGAAGGCAGACTGAGGCTGAGGCTGAAGCAGGCTGAGGCTGAGGCTGAGGCGGGCTGAGGCTGAGGCTGAGGCAGGTTGATGCTGAGGCAGGCTGAGGCTGAGGCTGAGGCTGATGCAGGCTGAGGCTGAGGCAGGCTGAGGCTGAGGCCGAGGCTGAGGCCGAGGCTGCTGACTGATGCTGAGGCTGAGGCAGGCTGAGGCTGATGCTGAGGCAGGCTGATGCTGAGGCAGGCTGAGGCTGAGGCTGAGGCTGATGCAGGCTGAGGCTGAGGCAGGCTGAGGCTGAGGCCGAGGCTGACGGCAGACTGAGGCTGAGGCTGAAGCAGACTGAGGCTGAGGCTGAGGCGGGCTGAGGCTGAGGCTGAGGCAGGCTGATGCTGAGGCAGGCTGAGGCTGAGGCTGAGGCCGATGCAGGCTGAGGCTGAGGCAGGCTGAGGCTGAGGCCGAGGCTGAAGGCAGACTGAGGCTGAGGCTGAAGCAGGCCGAGGCTGAGGCTGAGGCAGGCTGAGGCTGAGGCTGAGGCTGAGGCTGAGGCAGGCTGAGGCTGAGGCTGAGGCTGAGGCTGAGGCTGAGGCTGAGGCTGAGGCTGAGGCTGAGGCTGAGGCTGAGGCTGAGGCTGAGGCTGAGGCTGAGGCTGAGGCAGGCACTGAGGCTGAGGCTGAAGCAGGCTGAGGCTGAGGCTGAGGCAGGCTGAGGCTGGCTGAGGCTGAGGCTGAGGCCTGTTGCCACTGCGACTGTCATCGCGAATGCGACTGCGACTGCGAGAACAGCAGAATTCTACAACTGGATTCTCATCTGAATCTTAGGGGGAATGCTTCCAGATATGCTCCTACACATCGCTGTTAGGTTGCTTTGACAGGATCATTTTTCTTCTAATGCCCCTTTTATTCTCCTACTCCCGTTGGACGCTGTGGTGTGCTGGTGGCCGTGCAGAGGGCATCATTTCGTTGTTCCCCCGCTCCCCTTTTTTTCCGTTCGCTTCCGTCTGTGCCGCCTTGTCTCTTTTTGTCCCCCCTTCGGCTGCCCCGTCCTTTTTTTTACCGTGAACGTTTAGCCGTTGCGCGGCCCCGGCGAGGCCCGGGAGACCCAGGACGCCGCATGGGAGGCCCCCTGGAAGCCCTTGAGACCATTGGGAGGCCCCTTTGACGCCCCTTCAAAGTCGTGGGGGCCCCGCGGAGGTGCAAGAGGCTTTCGGTCTGACAGAGAGCTGCGGGCCCTTCCAGAGGCGGCGGGTCGTGGACTTTCACGCAGGCGGCCTCTCCACAGGGCTCTTCCCCGTCGAATTCCCCCCCGCGCTCTGCCGCCGGGGGGAAGGGTGTCCGGGGCAGGGCCGCGGGCCCTTCAGAGGCGCCAGGTAGTGGATTTTCGCGCAGGCGGCCTTCATAGGGCATCCCCCAGGGATTTTTTTGCATTTTTTTCCCGTTTCTCCTATTGTTTGGTCCCGCTATCCTTTGTATAATTTTTTCCGCTCGACCGCCCCGCTGGGGGAAGCGGGTTCTGGGAGGGGCCGCGGGCCAGCGGATTTTCACAGGCGGCATTAATAGAGCCGTCCGCATGAAATTCTGGACTTTTTCCCTCGCTCATTTTTTCCGCTTCCCCTTCCCCTCCACCGCTCGGCCGCCCCGCCGGAGGGAGGGGGGTCTGGGGGGGGAGGGGGCGCGAGCCCTCCAGAGGCGCCAGGTAGTTGATTTTCACACAGGCGGCCTCCACAGGGCCTCACCCATGGAATGCTGCGCTTTGAGGCCTTTTGGGGCGTCTTGTGGGCCTCTTGGGCCATCTTGAGTCCATCTTGGGTGTCTTGGAGCGATCTTTCGGCGACTCGGAGTCCTCTTGGACAGTCTTGGCGGCCTCGTGGGGCCCTCTTGACCCGTCTTGGGCCCTCTTGGGCCCGAACGAGTTCGTGCCACAAGATGCACCAGAGCCAAGGGGGCACGCGACAAGGCTCAAGAGATTCGGTAATTTGGGTTTCGGGCCCCTGACAGACTCCTCAGGAGTAGAGATTGAGGCTGCAAGGATTATGCACAGGACCCTGAGGGGGTTACTCTGAGTTTCTTGATAAGGGTCGGGGCGGCGTAGCCCCGCCGACAGCCCCACGTCGACCCCTGTCGCGGGCAGCCACCGCGCGCCGAAGGTGCTCCGACCCCTGTCACGGCGCGACGACGAGGCGAGTTTGACCCCCCGTCGGAGGGGTTACCCCCCACGCTTGGTAAGACTCCCAGAGTAGGCACAGGACCCTGAGGACACGCCCCCTCCGTGCCCAGAGGCACGGTGGCGGATATTGCCACAGGCCGTTGATCAATCGTGCAGTCTTTCGAGGGCCCAGGCTGGTGGCCGAGCACGAGCTGGCAAGGAGCCACCAGAGTGCACTCTTTGAGTCTGCTTCTCGAAGATGCAAGGCTGAGGTGCTTACTCTGGATCGGATATCAATTGAGGGGTGGGCGACCAACCTTCCGACGGAGCTTGCCCCCCCTTCCTCCTCCTCCTCCTTCTCCTCCTTCTCCTCCTTCTCCTCCTCCTCCTCCTCCTCCTCCTCCTCCTCCTCCAGTCCCCCCTCCACCCGTTCCGACAGCACGTGCCCACCCCCCCTGCGGATCCAAGGGGGGGCGATTATTGCCCCATCCAGAGTGGACCAGCTTGACTTTGTATCCGTGGTGTGGTTCACTTGGAAGTCGGCCACGAGATTCCTCTCACGGCGGCCATCGAATACGTGGATCGTCCCACGCCTTCGGCGGTGCCCAACCTGCACTCACTCAAGATAGACGCAAAGCTGGTGCAGTTGCCGTCAAAGATCGGCTTGGCGACCACATTCCGCAGCGGGGCAGGGCCCACCGGGACACGCTGGACAGGCTGATAATCCACCACAAACTTGCATTTTCTGGACGAGAAGTCTCAATTTCTGTACGTACTGTTACCGAGGTCAGTGTGCACACCTGGCAACTTGGAGAGGTTGGTAACCCTTCGCCGCTTCGCCGAGGGTTCGAGCGCATAAGTAGACAGGCAGTCGTGGGGAGATTAGCTCAAGGTCAGATTTCCACTCTGATGCAGTCTTGAAACTGTCTCTGCACTCGCGCCGTTGCTGGCCGTAGACCTTGCGAATCACATGTTCTCACTCAGCTGTATGCCGTCAAGTGCCGTGGACCCCGCCGATAGTTTAGTGGTATCAGTCGTGCATCGTCTTGCCAACCGCGCGACTGGTGATGGAGAAGCTTGCACATGTGGTCCTGGATCCGCATCCCCTTCCTTGTCCTGCCAGTCGTCCTCGTTCTCCCTCTTCTCCTCCTCCCCGTCCTTTTCCTCCTTCCTCGTCCTCGTCCCCCTTAACCCTCCCCCTCCTCCTCCTCATCCTCCTCGCCTCCCCGTCCCCCTCCTCGCCCGCCTTTCTCTCCATCCCCCGTTTCTCATCAGTTGTTCCTCCCCGTCACACCCCCAGGCGTGTCCGTCGGCCAGGCCGGGCGTTTCGCTGCAGACTTCCTCACGGTCTTCGCGGATGGAGGGCCCGTCATTTCTGACACGCGGTTCTCGCCTTCGCGCCGCGCACATGCGTCTTGAACGTTTCCAGCACGTACGCGGACGGAGGCCGGCATGTTTTCAAAGTATGGTTCTCGTATGATTTTCCCCCATCATTTCTCAGCGCAACGGTAAGTAACATCGAGCAAGCATTATACTGACGGAGGGGCTTTCGGTTTTTTCTCAAGATGGGTCTATCGCCTAAGGCCTTGTTTGATTTCGTGACTTGGAGTTTGAATCTTGTGCAACAGTAGCATGCGTGCAGGGCGTTTTTTGTCTAAACGGGGCTGTTACTGGGCACTCCGTTGACTTTAGCCTACCTTGTCGCATTCCTTGGAGATCGAAGGATGAGGGCTGGCTTCCTTGAAGTCGGATCTCCGTCTGAATTGCGGGATCATGGAGCGGAGCGCTCGTCCGTCAAGGTGTGCGGTTCGCTCAGTGAACATGAGTGGTAGCAAGGACTCATGATGAGGGGACTTGGGACGGCAGGGTGTGTTGCAGTATCGCTGATGCATCTTAGGATTACTCTGGTCCTCCTCCTCGTCCTCCTCCTCCTCCTCCTGCCCCGCGGCGGGCGCCCGCCGTGCCAATGCCCCCAGCGCCAGGCCTCTCCCCTGGCGCGTCCGCGGATGCCCCTGGCCTCGCCTGGAGCTGCTGATGCGATTCATGTTGACAGCGCACGTGCCGCCTTCCTGTGCGGCCTCGCTGTCCCGAGCTGCCCGTCGCCGTGCCAGGGCGCGGTGCACGGCGGCGCGCCATGCGCAGGCAGCGGCTGGCGCCATCGTCGCCCTGCTGCAGTCACGGGGCCCAGACACGCCGGCTGTGGACAGGGCTCCACGCATGGACGCGCTGGAGACGCTCACCAGCCTCTCCGCGGCCGCAGGGGCCAACTTGGCTGCGCAACGGATCCGCGCCGCCGCCACGGTGCGCACGCCCCTTCGTAGCCAGGCTGCTGTATACTACCCTGCTGGTCCTCTCGCCTCGCTTGACACTGACGGCTCCGACGACTTTGCCTCGCGTTTGTCGGGCAGTGGCGTTGCTACGGGTCGTGGGGGTGTTACTCACGCTGGCCGTGCTGCTGCTGTGCCACGCCGTGGCTTTCTCGAGGACCATCGCCGTGAAGTGCGTGACGGAGTCCGTGATGTCTTTCCTCTTGGAGGTGCAGCTGATGATTCTCAGGCCGTTCATCGATGCGACGAAGTGTACCCACAATATGGTCGTGGTGCTCGTGTCGACGCCGTTCATGGACCTCCTGATGGCGCTCCTCCTCGCCCAGTTCCTGGGCCGCGTGGGCGAGTTTATGGCCCGCGACCTTGGCATGGCGTTCGTCGCCCTTCCTGGACCTCCTGGGCGCGTCTTCAAGGTTGGGCCTCAATACATTGTTCGAGATGCCGTCCCTCGTCGAGTCCCTGTGCCTCGCGGGCGTCTCTTTCGTGCTCGGCCGTCGAATGGTGCTCTTCGCCCGCTCGTCGGACCTCGAGGGCGCGTATTCAAGGCTGGGCCACCACCCAATGGCACCAAATTGGCACGAGAGGGTCTCAAGGTACTCAGCTGCGGTGCTGCCTCCCACGTCGAGGCCTATAGAAACGCTTTCGCTCATGGTGCGGCGGCGGAGACCACAAGCGGCGACGACCTCTTCAGTGACATGGCGTACAAGTGGGCGTTGTGCGCTGAAGGCCTGCTGGATATTCTCGCCCTAAGCCTAGTAAGGCGGACGATGATGCGCCGACGAGTGCTGGGCCGCCTGGGACAGGATGCCTAGGCGCTGCCTCAGATGACGTCAGGTGCTCGCTTCGTCGTGACCTTTGGCCCCAGCGACCAGGGAGTGGCTTCGGTGGGCTCCCCTCGCCTGGAGGGGGGCACAGCCTGGCGGATGGCGCGAGCTGTGCCGTCCCAGGTGATGCCGCACACCTGGTCCACGGGCAGGAATCTAGAGGGAGTGGCTTCGGTGGTCCTCCTGCGTTTTGCGGGGGGCACGGCCTGGAGGATAGCACGAGCTGTGCTGTCCAAGGTGGCGCCGCGCACCTCTGCTCCCAGGGAGTGGCTACGGTGGACTCCCCTCGCGTTGAGGGGGGCACAGCCTGGAGGATAGCGCATGGCACTGTCCCAGGTGATGCCGCAAACCTGTCTGGAGCTCTGGGCTGACGCTTTCCTGCGTGCCTTCGCTTAGGCCGCGACGCGAGAGAGGTGCACCATCCTGTGTGCACCCCGCGTCGGCGCCCTCGGCCTTGTCACTGCTATCTCTGCCTGTGCAGCTGGTACCCGAGATCCTTTAGGTGGGATCCCAGCTTTTCCGCAGGCCAGCCAGGCTGCTAGCAGCTTGGCGCCTCAGGAAGGCGTTCGTGCGCCGCGCGACGCTTCCCTTGGCAGTGCCGTATCCTCCTCTCTCTCCTCTCCCCTCCTCTCCCCTCCCTCCCCCCTCTCCTCCTCCCCTCTCTCTCCTCTCTCCTCTCCTCTCCTCTCCTCTCCTCTCCCCTCCTCTCCTCTCCTCTCCTCTCCTCTCCTCTCCTCTCCTCTCCTCTCCTCTCCTCTCCTCTCCTCTCCTCTTCCCTCCTCTTCTTTTTCCTCCTCGCGCCCCCCCTCATTGTAGACGTCCCTCCCCCTCCCCCTGTCCTTTCTCTCCCTGTCCCTTCTTCCCCTCCCACTCCCCCCTTTGCCCCAGCACTCCCAACGCTCCCAACTTCCTGACTCGGGCCCTGGCCTGCCTGCGCTGCCGTCGCAGGGCCAGTCCGTCGGACCGACGCTGCGCGCTCCGCTCCGCTCCGTTCCGGGTCCGCTCTCCCTCCTGCCCTTTCCCCCTCGGGGGTGGGAGGGGGAAGAGTCCCGGCTCGGGTCTCGCGCGCCACAAAGATGATGTCGTTCGGCAGACCAATGATGGAGATGCTCTGTGCACGTTTGGAGCCTCCCCCTCGCTGAACATGCCACCGATCTGAGGACGATCCAGTGGCGGTCAGGCAGCGGCGAGTTCGGTTTCCAGTGCTCTCAAGCGGTTTCGTGAGCGGAGTCTTATTTCCTGATCTCCGGTCGCCTTCGGCCTATTCCGCCAGCGTGCCCTGGTTGTGGGGAAAGCCGCAGAGGAATCGATTGAAGGGCACAACATATTCAATACGCGTTGCCAGCCATGCTCGTGAGATCCGTGCGTGGGGTCCTTTGTGAAGGTCCCTCTCGGGGGCCTTTGGAGCCGTCTCGGGGCTTGGCTGCCTCCTGGGGGTATCTTGGGCTTTCTGGGGGCCGAAAACGCGAGAACGAAAGCCGAGTGGGCACTATGTTTTTTTTGGGGGCGGGGGAAAACACATTGCTTCTGCCAATTGGGTCAGCCACAGGCCCCCCCAAAACGTGTCCGAAACCTCCACCAGGAGCTCAAGACGACCGCTGAGGCCATCTTGAAGCATGTCGGACATCTGAATTCCCAACCATGCGCTCCAGAGTGTCGGGGAAACACCGGGTGACCGGCGACAAGAGACAGGAGCCCGCGAGAGCGCCAGGGAGCACTCGCAAGTGGAGGGTCCGCGAGCCGATGGGAATGTTAACATTTCAAGCCCTGCATCCACACACAAAGAAACTGAGTGTACTCCGCTTCTGCTGGATGCAAGGTGACGAGCGCCTTCGACAAGTCAAGCGCGGGCGTGACACCATGGGGTCTGACACGCCACTGTCCCTGCGGGGCTGGTGAGATCTCGCCGTGTCCATCCTTGGCCCACCGAGCTCTGCTCAGCTCCTTCGGAGCCAGTTTCACGCCCCCAGCCTGCAGAAGGCTGGTCGAGTGGTTTGCCCTCCTCCGCGAGCGGGGTGGATCAGGCCTCCACGAACTGGGCGGGGGAGGGCCCTCCCCGCTCCGCGGTCCCGTCGGGGTGCGGGCGTTCTCCTCCTGGCCTCGAGGGTGCCTGGTAGAGTCGGGGCTTGCGCTGGGGCGAGAGCAGGGCCGCCACATCATCTTGCGCTCTCGCGCGGGTCGCGGGTTTCGGCACGCGGCCAGCCTGGGGTGAGGGTGGGGCGAGAGCCGGAGCGAGGCAGCACTTGATGGGGTAGGGCTCCCTCCTCGATGGCCGAGGTATGTGGGCAGTGCCATCGAGTTCCGCACCAACAAGGGACGCAGGTTCTCGCACGTGGCTGCCTGGGGCTCCGGGCGTGATGAGGACGCCCGCGTCTTCCGAGCGTCGCCGCGGCACTGCATACTGTCTCTGCGGCTGGTGGACGGGTTCCTGCAGGGTATCGAGGAGGGCCCGTGCCACGTCGACGAGGACCAGGGCCTGGACATGTTCATGGTCTACTGGGTGGAGGCCAGTGCGAGCGCGAGCGCCTCCTTGGAGGAGGTGAAGTGCCCCAAGGGGCACCTTATGCGCGAGGGCTGGTCCCGGGCGGGGCACGTCTGCGACGAGTGCTCCCGGTCGGGCACCGTGGCCCGCTGCGGGGGCGGCTGCGACTACGACCTCTGCGCCGTCTGCTTCCGCCACCACGCCGAGGGCTGGGGCTCGGCCGTGCAGAGGCGCGGCTTCGAGTACCGCGACGCCGCGCTCCGCTTCGCGGCGCTGCGGGGCGCGGGGCCGCCCTCCGCGCTCGTGCTGGGGCCGCTGCGGCTGGAGCTGGAGGACCACCCGTGGCTTGACGTGTGCGGGGAGCTCTCGGGCGCGTGCCGCGGCGGGCTCCGCGGCCTGCGGGCCCTGGCGGGGCGGGCGCTGGGCCTGCAGGGGAGCGCCAGGGCCCCGCACGGCGGTGCTCAGGAGCAGATAGATGGACCCACACGGGTCGCTCCAGAGATGGCTTCGCCATCGAGGGTCGAGGGAGTTGCCACCTCTTCCTCGGCGGAGGGCGGCGGAAGTGAAACGAGGCCGCCTCCGCCTGCGGGAGTCCGCACGGGCTCGGCGCAAGCCGGCGGAAGTACAAATCGGCCTCGCAAGAGATGGCAACGTTTTTCGTTCAGGGCGTTTGTGAACCCGCCAAATATCGAATATGCTACCCTCAGAGGAGATGGGCTCAGGGGGGGATGCATCTACCCCAATCGCCCACTGATCGCCGACAGGGGCCTGATAGCCCACCCCGCCTAGGAACGTGCGGTTTCGCAATCGGGGGCCTACCGCCAATCCATCGGCGATGTACCGCCAGTTCCAGGTCGATGCTTCCCTCCTGAGCTGGTCACCCCTATCGCTCCCCCTCATTCCCTCGTCGCCACGGCCGGATCCACTCTAGAGTCCTGGCTAGAACGCACTCCTGGAGAGGTCCGGGGGGCAGCGGTATCGGTACGTCCTGTCCCCTCACGTGAGCGACGCAGAAAAAACGAAGTCGACTGCTCCGGCACTCGAGCGTAGGCTGCCCGCGTAAGGTCCTGCGTAAACGCTCTCGTTTGCAATGTGTCGTGCCGCGCTGGCGGCCCGCGTAAGCCACCGCGTAATGTCGCTCTGCCATCTCGCGTAAGACCCCGGCGGGCTTGCGGGGTGCCGGCTGGCCAGCACTGGTAATCCGAGCGCAGCGCCACGTGCTCGGGCCCGCAGAAATCGCTTGTTGGCCATGGCAGATGGTTTTGGTTAGGCATTGGGGCGGTGTGCAGGTTCCCTCCGCGTATCTTGGCATTCCTCCCCCACGCCCAAGGTGCTGGGCAGGAGCTGGAGGAGGGGCTGCGGGCGCCTGGCGCCTCCTTCGGCGGTAGCGCGCCACGCCAGCTGCGCGGTCCCCTCCTCGGCGCTGGCGCTGGCGGCGCGCCTGGCGCCGCAGCGGGCGGCTCTTCCGCGGGGCCCAGGCTGGCGAGCGGGGCCGTGGACGAGGTTGGGGCGCACGTAGCTGGGGTCAGTGCTAACAGGGGTGAGCCAGTCCCCTCCCCCTCGTCGTCGTCGTCGTCGTCGTCGTCGTCGTCGTCGTCGTCGTCGTCGTCGTCCTCCTCCTCCTCCTCCTCCTCCTCCTCCTCCTCCTCCTCCTCCTCCTCCTCCTCCTCCTCCTCCTCCTCCTCCCCCTGGTCCGCCCTCCGCTGGCCCGGGTCTGGGGGCTACTGAGTGGCCAGCCAGGGCTCGCAGAACGGCCTTGGCTGTCGCGGGTCCGCGCTGACCCGGGTGGGCGCGTCGCTGGCGAGGCCACGTTCGCCGGGCTCGTGGTCAACGTCGAGAGCGGCGCTCGCGTGCGGGCCTGGGGGCAGGCGGAGCGGCTCAGCATGTGCGAGAAGGCCGCCGCCGACGCTGGAGAGTTCAATCCTGGGCAGTGGGAGCGGCGCAGCTCTTCTGGATGAGCAGAGAACGGCATCAACACAAACTTTCGGAGCTCCGCGCGGATTTCTGGGATCGGCGCTGGGGCCTCCCATGGCGGCGGCGCCTGCGGCACCGCCTCTGGCGCGCTCTGCGCGCCAGGGAGGGGGGTCCAGCGCCGACCCAAGAAACCCGCGCGGACCTCCGTGGAATTATGTTTATGCAGTCGTTTGTTCCTCGACCTTCGCTTAAGGGCTGGGTCGAGTGGGCCAGAAGGATGGGGCCGCTGTTTCTGCAGGTGCTGTCGCTGCTGAACTGGCGGGAGGAGTTCCTGGGTTCGACGATGGTCGGCCTCTGCGTGGTCCTACGGTCCGTGTGCGACGGCTGGCAGCCCGTGCTCACTGGGGCGGTGTTCAACCTGATCAACGGGGACAAGCACGAGGTGGAGCAGGAGTCCAAGTTCCTGCACTTCCTGTGCTCCTGGTCGTTCGGCTGCGAGGGCCGGCTGCCGCTGGCGAAGTCGGTCATCATGGGGCTGATGCTGGCGTCGTGCGTGCAGGGCGTGGCCAACGCGACCTCGCACGGCATCAAAGACGCCATGCGGAACCGGCAGAGCGCGAAGCTGCGGATTGCGATGTTCGAGCACCTGCTGGCTCAGGACATCGCGCTGTACGACACGCGGCGGAAGCGGGACCTGGCCAATAAGGCCGAGCTCAAGGTGATGGATCAGATCACCGAGTGGCTATGGTCTCTGATCTCCGACCTCATCAAGCTCGGGACCCAGCTTGTGTTCTTGTTTTGCATATCTCCCCTGATGACCCTGGTATACGTGGTGCTGCTACCGGTGGTGGAGAGGATCAGCATCGTCCAACCTATCCTTGCCCCCCACTGGGCAATGGTTTCTCGGACCTACCAGCCCACTCTCCTAGATACAGTGGGGGCCCAGGCCAAGAAATACCCTGCTTACCTCCAGGGTGCCCTGGGTTTCTTGGGTTTCGTTGGTTTTGCGACGGAAAGCGTGACGTTCCCACACCAAAAATCAAGGGACGTCCTGGGGTCTCAGGGTTGGGTCTCTTGTGGAAGACTCCTTGTGGTCGAGCCCCTACTATGTACTCCGAGTTTCTTAATAAGCGTCGGGGGGGCGTCACCCCCGCCGACAGCCCCCCATCGACCCCCGTCGCGGGCAGCCACCGCGCGCCGAAGGCGCTCCGCCCCCCGTCGCGGCGCGACGACGAGGCGAGCTTGACCCCCGTCGGGGGGTACCCCCCCCACGCTTATTAAGAAACCCCGAGGAGGCCTTGCGAAACCCGATGGAGCAGACACAGATCCCCAGACATACTCGGACTTCTGCTCTTTTGCTGTTCCGTCCGCGGCCCCAGCGCTCGCGACGCCTTCTCGGGGGTGGTTTGCGTCCTGGATCCATTTTTGATGGTCCTGGGGCCCGACAATTCAAGGGAGGAA